AAGAACATATTTGAAACCCTTGACAGATTGTATTCAAGTTCATAGTCAGATTTAAATATTAAACATATATCAAATCAAGCACTCTTCGCGTTATTCGAATCCAAATCGAACATTTAGATACTCAATTCGATTCACCCTGTTTGCAATCCTAATTCACAGCCCGACTCACAAACCTCTAGGAGCCTTTCTGACCAAGCTCTTTCCTTTATGTCCATCAAATTCATCCCGGCTCCATCAGTATGATCGATACACGCATAGCTCCCAATTAGGAGAGAAGCCATGAAAGAACTGACCAACGAGATTCTCTCTGTATCTAGATATGCCTCAGGCCTCGTCTCGAAAATTTTCCGGATCTGTGGGCCCGTGTACCTCTCGTAGGCCCGCGAGCCACTGACCCTCGACAGCTCTAAAGCCCCACCCACGGCTTGCTCGATCTCCTTGCATTGTTCGACGGTGCTGCTGTCCATCCACACAGGCGACTCATTCACGGAAAAAGCTTCCCTGAGTTGGTCCACCAGTTTCTGTTTTGGGTCTAATGACGAAAGTACCCTCCGACTCCCGGTTTTCCAGTACACGCTGCCGTGTTGCTGTCCGCTACCGGAAATGGCTGCAATTTTCCCGAAATCCAATCCCGATCGTTTCAACTTCTCGAGAATTAGGTCAAGTGCCTCGACCCACATTATGGTGGGGGAAACAATTCTGCCATTAACAAGAGGGTCTCGATACACGCCATCTTTGGTGTTGTAATGGGGTAGTCCCGAATCGAAATTAACAATCTCCTGAGACACGATTTGCAGGTTTGCATCTAGGAGAGTGGCCTTCAGTGACCTACGCAGAGTGAAATAAGGATTTAATCTTAACTTGATCGCGAGAATCACAATTATCGTCATTTATTTAATTTATTAGATTGAATAAATGAATTCTGACTGAGAAACCGGCCGTTTTCGACGAAAATCAGAAGGACGTTTTAACAGGATCGATACACGAAATTGGAACAATTGAAGAAAGTTTTCTCTCTCTTTTTTTTACTTGAATTAGGAGACACTTACTGCGTAGAGCTATCAAAACCCAGAAAATACGAGCCTTGTGGGAGAGAGTAATCCTCCATTGATGACAGTAGAAGCTAGGCCACCTGAGAAAAGCTGAGTTCAATCGCCAGTAAGGTATTAATGTTGATCAGCATGAACAGAGTGACTGAAGCTGTTCCGTATATTTGGATTAACAGTCGCTGTTAAGGGATAAGGATTATCATTAAGGGATAAGGATTATTTTTAGGATGATTTGGGAAGTGTGATGCATTTCCTTAATATCTATCTATATATGGAGAGTGATTTTGTAAAAGAACAAATACAAAAACATCTTTAGGTATATAACATACGAGTACCACATTATGCCCTAGTACCATAAGTCATGTCACAATATAATATGTCGAATGAGATGACTTTTTTTTAATTTTAACTATCAATTTCATAACATATATGAGGTGACTTTTTCAAAGATTTTTCACACCAAAAATCAATTAAGGAACCCCTTCAAAATAGAATTATTCCCGAATTTAAATAAAAATCTCGAGAATCAAACGTAAAATCCCTCCAATACTGTCATGGTTTTCTGACTTCCTCCTCATTGGCCCACTGCTCCTTTATTATTTTCATGTACTCTTATTTATTAAATATTAAAATTATATGAACAATATGTTTTAAGTTTCCATATATTTGTCCTAATTCATTATTTAATGGACTTATTTTGATTCATTAATTAAACATAATAATGCAAAAAAAATGAATAAACTATATAAAGATAAAAAAAAAATATTAAATCATAAAAAATTATAAATTATGTATTACGTGCATTACACGTGCACTGTACTAGTACCCCAAGAAAACCGAGAAAACCTTTCCATATTATCGAAAATACTAATACATTTATCAGCACTTTCTTTTTACCCATCTTTAAATCCAGAATACATAGGCACTCCTTCCATGAACAAGGAAAACAAAAAGGAAAAACTAAAGAGATACTCCTGCATTTCAATTCTCTCTGTATCCTGGTGAGCAAATTGCTGCAAGACAATTGAAATGTTGTCTCAAAAATCAAAATGAGTAGTGAATAATTTTAAACACACAAAAACTAAGCAGAATTGATTTTTGTGAAAAAAATGATCTTCGTCGAGGAATACCATGACATGACTAAGATGTCTGGGTCTCGCTAATTACAAATGCTTGAATAAGACTTTGGGCAGCATTCGTCTGCTCCGGCGTGCCAGAGATTTTGATTAAGGTTTCTTCCGCTCCAGGTTTTGGGTCCATGATGGTGACATTTGCTTCCGATATCTATAAAAAAAATTACGTAACAATTCTAAATAGAAGATAAAACTTATTATGTAAGTATGTAACAAGTCACAAAGACAGCGCTAAGAAAGCGTTAACAGTGCACTTAGAACCGAGTAAACCAAATATGAACAATATGACGAAAAATCCAGAATTACAAAGTTAATGACTAGCAAAAGAAAGAAACATGGTTAAAATTACACTTTTAACACGCATACCTCACGAATTTGTCTCAAACAGCCTCCATCCTCTCCGTAAATTGCAGGAACAACGAATCGAGGAACAACTACTTCCACAGCAGTGTTAGTGATAACAGCAGGTTGATTTCCTCTATATTGATGGGGGAGAAAAAAAAATCTTAATAAAGATCCAAGATAAAATAAATAATGCAAACAGATTAGATGCGGTGGTATAGAACAAACCCGGGAAATCCGCCAAATCTTCTATGAGGTGGGCCCGGATAATCTGGGAATCCCATTGGACCAGGTCCTTCTATTGGTCCCTGCACACATGATCACAAACCAAGCACCATAATCTTTCTTATTTTTATTTATTTAGAAAATAATAGTCAATTTTAGAAATGCTGCAAAGAGAATATAAGGGCATGCTTGTTTATGAAATAATTTGCTCAAAATGAGTTATTTTGATTAGCTAGAGTTAAATTTGAAAAAATGTGGTATGAGTAGTTGTTAGTGGGATTTTAATAATGTATTAAAATAATATTTAAAATAAAATAATTATTATTGATTTCGATGTAAAAGTAGGAGATAAATGATTGGAAATGATTGAAAATGATAGGTAGTTAAAATTATGTGAGTGGATGAATAAGTGAATTAAAGTTGATGTGATATATAAGAATGATTGGTTTATAATATTTAATTATATAAATAATATTAAGGATAGAGGAGCTGATTAAGTTGAGTTAGATTTTGAGTATGAAATAAATGTGAGCAAATTATTTCATAAACAAGCATGCCCTAAATATCCTGTATGTAGTCGTTTGGTTAAAAAGAGTCGATACCTGAGGGCCCCACGGTTCTACAGCTCTTTCAGACATGTGCGGAGGGATTCGTGATCTAGGAAAATCATGTCCGAAAGGCACATGATCCGCATGTGGATGGAAAGGCGGGCCGCCAGGACCTTCAAACTTGTTAAATGGTGGGCCTCGATCAGGAAAAGTTCTAGAAGGTGAAAATTCCCTCCTTCCCATGTAAGAGGGAAATGGGCCAGGTGGGCCTTGATCTAGAAAGGCCGGGTCAGAATGGTGACCGAAAGGCGGAAACACGTCACCGAAGAAATGACTTTTGAGCCTTGATGTAATTTGCAAGAGAGCCTCTTGAACTACCTCAAGTTCTCCATTTACCTGGAATCGCAAGAGACAGAAGCAAATATAAAATTCATAGATATCGAAGAAAGTCAAATGCTTCATGATCTTACCCTACAGTAGAAAGTCTACAAAATTATGATGCGCTTAAACTATTAATATATAATATCATATGAAACTCCGAAGGAAAGTAGCATTTAGCATTTGATAGGTTTTTTATTTTATTTTTTTTAACCATGTTTAATTTTGAAAAATGTGGTATGCTTAGTTGTTAGTGGAAATTTAAGTTTAAATTAAAATATTATTTAAAATAAAATAATTAAAACTGATTTGATGTAAAAGACAAAAGTAGAAGAAAAATGATTGGAAGTGATGGTTAGTTAAAATTATGTGAGTTGATGAATAGTAAATTAAAGTTGATGTGATGTGTAAGAATGATTAGTTGATAATAATTAATTATATTGATAATACTGAGGATAGTGGGGTTTGTTAAAGTTGAGTTAAATTTGAGATTTGATTTTTTTTTTTTCTTTTTTTCTGTTAAGTTTATAACAAATCACATCTCAACTTCATGGCAGCTATTGTTCGTACCTGAACGACTTCCTCATTCTCGGAAGCGATCTTTGGAACCTGATCTTTACCCAGAATTCGGATATAAGCTCTAGTCGACTTCCTCATTTCGGCAATGACTGACCCACCCTTTCCAAGGAGGCAAAAGATCAAACTCGTACAGCTGGGCCTGATATTATAATAATGCGATCCTCTGAATCGTTTTCACCATCTTGGATTTTGATCTCACAACCAGTTTCATTTTGAAGCGCTTTGACTACAGAGCCTCCTTTTCCAATTACACCACCCACCTTCTCCTCACTACACAATATCCGGAAAGTTAGGATTTCAGGAGGAAAATTCACAGGACCACCAGGCATGCCAGGCTCAACATCATGAAACCCAGCAGAAAAAGGTGGTCCCTGGCCATGGAAAGGTCGATTAGGTGGCGGGAATCTATCTCGTCTTGAAGGAGGACCAAAAGAATGAGATGGTGGGCCACCAATATGGGCAGAAAAGGAATCCTGATTGTGAAGAGGTTTCTCAAGCAGCTGCTGGGAAACACAAAGAAGAGCTTTCCTAACAGCATCACGTTTGCCAGAGATCTGTTAAAAGGCATTAGTGTGAAAAGAAGATGGTTTTAGCAAGTATGAAAAGAGTTTTGAAAACAAATGCAAGACATATAACGTGTACAACATCCAAGAATGGCTATATTCTGTGTTTATGTTAGAAGTTCTTTCTCCAGGACTTCAAGAAATTTTTATAATGTGCATGACTAAAAGGTTACAATTACCAATTTATCTCACACTAAATATAATTAATTACATGTATGCCAAATTGTCTAAAATTCTGGTTCCTCTGTTTTCAAGAGTGTGTTAAGCAGAAGAAAATAAGAACGCTGGCATACCTGAACCAGTTCATCAGATGAAGATGCACAGGAAGGCAGCTTGTCTTTTGGAAGAACTCGTATATGAGCCCCACTTTCAGACGACATCTGTTTTATAACACTTCCAGCTTTTCCTAGCAGGCAGCCTACTTGACCAGAGAAGACAAGGAGCCTAACAACAAATGTTATCGAATTAATACTTTCCTCATCCCCTTCATTTTTATCAGACAATATGTCAACCATTTTACCAAACACGACTAGCAGAGCTTTCTGAACAGAAGAAGAATCCTTTTCATTGTCTGATTGAGAATTATCATCAGGAACAGCCTGCTTTTCATCAGCTTCCCCATGTTCTTCTGGCTTCTCTCCATTCTCATGGCTTTCAGTCTCTTTGCTTTCAGTCTTAACCTGCTCACTCACACTTTCATTGTCCTTACCTGTTCCTGTTATGATAATAACTCTCTCATCACACCCAGGAATACTTTCCTCAACACGAACTTTTGCTCCAGTTTCCTGGCGAATTTGAGATATGGTGCTGCCACCTTTTCCAATGATGCCACCAATTTTGGAAGCTGAAAAAAGTACACGTATAACTCTAATCGAAGAAGGTCCTGCTGGTGACACATTATCAGAAACGGATGATTTCTGCAACTTTGTTCGACCACTTAGCTCTGTTAGGGTTTGGTCATGCGGTCTCTTAGCTGGTGTCACTTGAGTGGACATGCCTCCGAATCCCGCCAAGAAAACAATAGAATGCAAGCAGCTACAGGCCTAAGTTTCGGAACAACCAACCGTCTCAGAGAAAATCGAATGTAATGGGGAAAAAAACAAACATTTAAAACATGACGACTAACAGTTGTTAAGCTAGTTAGAGGTCAAACGAATCACTGCAAGTAACTCTTTCTGGTGAAAAACTAAATTATCATTAATCGACAAAAATGTCATAATCTATATCAACTCAGGGTAACTTTTAGGTGTAAGAAAATCAATGCAGGCATGAAATTTAGCAAATCTGCTCATTTACCAAATGCAGAAGATCATATTTTCTAATATACTTTAACCTGGCTTTCTAATTCTAATCGGTTTATAAAATCCATTACAGTAAAAATATTAATTAAAAACTTAGAGGTTCATCCAGAACTTTATGATAGGAGACAGTTCTCGACGACCCTCGAACAGTTTCGAAAGAAACAATTTCTACTTCTGAACAACATATGACAAACCCACTACTGACCACATGCTACACGTGTGTGAATCACCTTTTTGCACATGCCCAAGATACTAAGCCAGCTGAATCAATTAAAATTACAACAAAACAAGAAAATACCCCCAAAAACCCAATGCTTAGGAACATAAGTTACAGAGTGCCCAGCAGCTGAGGCCGGGAAAATGTACACACATTGCCCAAAACTCACCTTCACCATCAAGCTCCACCCCCAGTGCAAAAAGGACGTATCTTTATGTGTGTGTGTGTGTGTGCGTGTGTTTGTGTGAGAGAGAGAGAGAGAGGGATGCACTAGCTTACCTCGCATCAAGCAATTACGAATTTTCATTTCTATAAAAATTGCAGACTTCATCTATAAGCATGCATCTACCAAGCACCAATTCGAATAAAAACACTAAATAAAGCTCAAAAAATAAGCTCAGCGGCAGCGAAAGCAACATAAGGTAAAGATCGACAAAAGACGACAAACACAACACGAATACTAACCCTAGAGATTGAAATAAAAGGAGAGAATGATAGTTACATACAGCAAGGAGTAGACAACAGAGGAGGTTTGAGATTCTTGAATTCCAGATAGTTTCAGCGGTTTTCCCTAGGCAGAGCGCAATTGCAAAGCTATAAGATTTCTGAAGTGAATAGTGTGTGGCCTCGCTAGTCGCTAGTCATGTCATAGATCAGTCAGATGGGCCGGGGCCCGTTATATATCTCTCTCTCTCTTGCATTTTTAGGTGGCAATTTCACACAAGAAACGACACAACGTGATGCTCGTAAATTAAAAAATCTGACTCAGCTAGTTAAAACTTGAGTTTGGCTCGGCTCATTTGATAATAGAGTCGAGTTTGGGCTCATTTAAAGCTCGTTTAGTCAACAAGTCGAGCTCAACTCGATCCGATAAGGCTCGAATTTATTTTTATTAAATATCGTAGCAAAAAAAATTCAGTAACATTTAATGCATACCTTCTTTGAAATTTTTTTAATGTATGCATTAATTGATTGCACGTACATGTATCCAAATCTTATCAAATCGAATATGGTCAAAAAGATTTTTTATACTTTATCAACATCTATAATAATTTCATTGATATCCATTATAATAAAGTACAAAATGATTTTCTGTATTCATGTTAATAATATTTTGGTCAAAATAAACATAAAAACATATTTTAAGTTTTAACCATACTATTAACTTTTCTCACAAAGATTAAGGGGGTGATTGTTTATGGATTCAACTAGTTTTTATTTGGTTTGTTTCTCAACTATAATTAATTTTGAAAAAAGATGGTATGGTTAGTTGTTAGTGGATATATTAAAATAATATAATTAAAATTAATTTGATGTAAAGTAAGAGAAAAATGATTAGAAGTGATGGTTAGTTAAAATTATGTGAGTGAATGAATAGTGAATTAAAGTTGATGTGATGTGTAAAAATGATTGGTTGATATTATTTAATTATATTGATAATATGAGAGATAGTGGGTTGAGTTAAATTTTAGTTTTGATTGATTTTTTTAATCGCCTCCTAAGTTATTATCTTAAAATATTTATACAAAATCATAACAGGTTAGATAATTTTTTTTCTTAATTCCAATTAATCAAGTTGGTGAATATTGTCAATATAATTTTTTCTCAAGCCTTATTCAACTATATAAAAAACAAACAAATCTTCAAATTGATATAATTTACTATTTAGGATATAAAGACTATATACATTAAACAATTTTATTAATGGCTAGATAATAAAATTAAAATAAAATAACTCTTCTTTAGAATTTCAACATGTGATTTATTTTTACATTACCATCAACCATGATTGACTTTTTATCATTACTCTATTTTTATTTTTTCATAATGAAATTATTGTAAAACATATTTCTTGATTGTTAGAAATATGCTATCAAGCCTTAAGATGTAAATTTGAAAAGCAATAATTAAATTTTTTAGTTTAATTAAATAAGCTATAAAGTCTTAGGATGCAAATCTAAAAAATCTCTTGGTTATAGAAGCCACTCATATTTTGGCAATTGCTAAATCGAAGTTGTTTAATTACTATGAAAATATTAATTCTAATGCATAATGGCCAATAATAATAATAATAATAGGATGACTATTTGATTAATTGGTTAGTTAACATAAATAGTTAAATACACACACAATGTGACGAAATTGTTTTCCTTTTTTTGTTTTCAAATTAGTATTTGTTGATGACGTGTTATATATATATGAGATTATTTTTATCTTTTTTAATTATTATGAGATATGATGAATACAAAAATTGTATAGAATCAAATGTGTGTATATTTTGTAAAATATTTATATACAATTTTTATCATATGCATAATTTTAAATTAATTACCTTACTAAATAATACAAACATACATTAAATATTTTCCAATATATAAAACAAAAATAAGAAGACTACTTTATAACTTTTATAAATAATGACATTATATGATAACAAAATTTGGAACAAAAAAAAATTGAGTATTATGTAGTGAACAATAATAAATACAACTATGATTTCTTCTTATATCAAGAAATAATTAGATATACTAAAATCAAAGTTATATTAGTATAAACGTGTTAGCTGAATAATATATTAAGTAAACAATAACTTTATTTACTATTTATATAATATAAGTTAAATCAAATATTAGTTATTATAGACCACAATAAATTAAAATAAATAAATGAATAGAAATAATATTAAATCATAACTTATTCTATTTCTTATATTTAAGATCTATGCATTACATCTAATCTATACATATATAATTGCTAGCAAAGCAATTAATAAAACCTCAATAATTTTCCCTCCAAAAGACGTTACGATTTTTATGTTTATCTTTATAATTTTTGGCTATTAAATTAATGCAAATGACAAAATTTTTCCTCCCAAATTTTAAATTATGTATGGTAAAACCGCTACATTTTATATTAATTAAGTATAATCATATTCTATTAATTTTTCTATCATACAATAGTTATTAGATAAAATCAATTAATTACTAATTCACACTAAATGTTATATGTAAATTACATAATCATAAAAAAAAATATATATATATATTGCATTTTTTTCAAGATATTATTCTAAAAGTTATATTAATCTTTTAGTCATATAATTAGCTTAATGCGATGAAAATATTCCTTACACAATTTCTATAATAATAATAATAATAATAATAATAATAATAATAATAATAATAATAAATAATAATAATAATAATAGTAATAATAATAATTTCTAAAATATTCTAAAAGTTGGCTTGTTGTTCTCTCGGTCGGAGGTGGGTCGATTTGAGATGAGTTTGGGACTCAGGTTCGGCTTCGGTATAGGCGGTCATGCAGCTTCGGTAGCTGTTCCTCGGGCATGGGATCTTCTTGGATCGATTGTTACTCCGCTGGTTTGGTTTGCTGGGGAAGGGCTTACTTTTTCATCTTTTCTGTTCTTTTGTCTTGAGTCTGTTTGTGATGTTTTGGTCTTGTTTTTTTTAGTTTGGGTCGTTGGCCCATGTGAACCCGACTGTGTGCAGGTATTATCGTTATGTTTGTTTAAGATTTGTGTTTTAGGTTTGGGCCATTGGGCCCTGTGAGCCCGTGTGAGGGCGCGTTTTACTTCGTCGGGGGTCGTTCCACATTACTCCGTTGGGGATCGTTTCACTTTATTCCGTTGGGGGTCGTCTCAGTTGAGTCTTTGTGTTGTCTTGTGTTGTGTTGAGTTTATTTTCTAGCGTTGCTAGGCAGGCTCTAGGCGGTCTTCTGGCCTGTCCTCCCAGTTTTTCAGCTGTTGGCTGTAATATTCAGCTAAGGGCTGTGTATTTTGCACATTTGTGCGTTTTGATTTATAATATCTCTATCGTTTAAAAAAAAGGTAATTGATTGGTCATGATTCCTTAAAGTAACAAAAAATGTTATGTATTACATTTTATGCTATATACTTGTATTTATATTATTTATTTATTAAAAATAAAATTTATAAAATGTGATATAAACATATGTATTTTATAATTTTAATGTTGCATTTACACATAATTTATAATACTTTGTAATTTATATCTGTGCATGTGCACAGGATCAGCTATTAGTAAATAAGAATTATAGTACTTATGTACAAACCATAAATATCAATTTAATCCATCTTACTTATAATATATATTTCATCATAAAGTAACTGATATTTGATTGTTCAAAAACAAAAGAAAAAACTCTTCACACTTACATTGAACAATAAACCATACTAGTATCATGGATCAATCCTTAAATTTTATTATTATATATGGATCAATACTTAGTATACTACCAAACATGTGTTGTTCATCCATGATATTTTTTTCCAGGAGACCAATCAGCAGGAATCACATTATTCACGGTGAATATTGTTTTGGACTCGATAGTTGTTACTTTTACAGAATATGGACCTTTTATTCCAGTCGGTAATCCAACTTTCCATGTTGCCCCCCAAGACTGTTGCATCGTTAGCCATCCATTGGAATTTCGAGAAGATATCGCGACTGCACCAATGTCACCATCTCCATCGACAAACTCGATGGCGAATGCTAGATAATAAGGGTTAGACCCGTCATCAATCTTGAACGTTATCGGTGCACTATAATGACATCTGACACTGCAATTCAATTTATGATTATTACATAAATGTTAATTCTTCCCACTGTTCGTAAAAAATAATAATAATAATAATAATTAGTTACCTTTGATAATCGATATTAATTCGTCCCGCTTTTCGTAAAGCATCTTCTTGGCCAGGTTTGGCCAAGGATCCAAAGGCTTTACCACTCAAGTCAAAGTGAACAGGATCATTGTTGCAGTCGCCTGGACACTCATCTGTGATTGTTATAGTGATTGCATTCCCCGAGCATGCTGGATTTTGGGTGCATTTCACCTAAAATTCGAAATTAGTTGATATATTTGTCATTTATGTAAAAAAAACTAATAAATCAAGTTTACATAATATATAATATACCTGATAACAATTTCCACAGCCACTTCCATGTTTGAACAAGACTTGGTTCCCAGCTGATATCAAGCCATTGTAAGGAGGACCTGCCACGTCATCTGCAAAGCCACAAGCTCCTCCTACAAAAGGCACATATATAATTCTTGTTTTATTTCCATTCAATTATTTTTTTTTTTTTNGTTTTATAAATTGTGTGTCACAAGTCAAAATGTAGCTTGTATTATTACCACTTCCTGATCCTCCTGGTGGCCCATACCATGTTGCTATTGCTTGTGAAAAACCCAGCTTAGAAGAATTTAGTGATTTGGAATTTAAACAAAAACAACATTGATTTGTTATGAGAAACAAAATTGCAATCAAAGTTAAAAAATCGGAGAGATGAGAAGTAAACATAGCGCTCAACTCGATCGTATAGTATACAAAATATAGTGTAGGAAAATTGATTATGCTGTTGTTCACCCGGACTAGGCTATTTATACTACTCAAGATTATTACTTACCATATATAATGATTAATGATTATATATTATTGTTATATGCATGTAATAAGCAATGTAGAATTCAACCTTTATTTACATTATATGCATGCAATAAGTTCAAAAGAAATATTAAAGTCGGTCAAAATTTTACTACATCTTGTGCATACAATTGAAAAGATAATTAGAAAAATTAGATTATAACA